TGGCTAGGGGTCGACAAAACCACCTAAACCTAACCATTAGGGTTTATGGTGCCTCGGGGTCAAAGAAGCCGCCTAAACCTAAGCATTAGTGTTTATGGTGGCTAGGGGTCGACGAAACCACCTAAACCTAAGCATTAGTGTTTATGGTGGCTAGGGGTCGACGAAACTACCTAAACCTAACCATTAGGGTTTATGGTGCCTCGGGGTCGAAGAAACCACCTAAACATATGCTTCCAATGCATGATATAACATAACCATCTAATATTCCAGTGCTAACATAACCATCAAATAGTCTTCCAATGCTAACATAATCATCTAATATAAAACCTAGTGCATGAGAAATCATAACTTTTAGTCTACCTACCATGGCATAGAATATCTCATCCATCTTCCAATGCATGATATATCATCATTTCAAGTCTTGCAAACATAACACACAATACTTACTAGAGTTCAACATATTATAGGGTACACAACCATTGTTCACAATACATAGTGGAGTTTAGGTGCATAGTTCATCCTTTTCTCACAAAAGGATGACAAGCATATCTACTACATACATACACAGCCATAGTTCACAATTAGTAGAGCCATACTCTACACAACCATCATGCCCAAAAGGTCAGCATTGCCCACTAGTCTCATATTCATTTTCTTCACTTCTCTAAGATGGCCTGGATCCCCTTGATCTTCTCCTTCAGCTTCTCCTCTGCCTTCATCAGCTCAGCAATCTGAAGCTCTAGCTGCCCCTTCTCTTCACCATGCTTTTCCTTTCCCTTAAGCAAATCAGCAACCTAAAACTTCAACTCTGGCTTATCTTGGGTGAGCTTCTCCTCAGACTTTGTGAGATATGCATTCTTCAACTCCAAGTTCATCTTAGCTTCACTAAGCAATTGCTTGTCTGTAATATGCTTCAACTTCAAGTTCTGGATGATTGTCGCTTGAGCTCTTGTCAGGTTCAGTAGCACTTCATAATTTTGCTTAAGCTTCTCAGACTCCGCATCTTTCTTTGCCATCTGTGCCCTCATATCAGCCACCAGTTCACTTCTGCATTGCTGCTGATATGTAATGTTAGACTGCAGATATCTAAAATCCACCACCCTCTCCTCCTGGAAGCTCATAAGCTCATGCACATCTTGGACTAACTTGTCATAGTTGGCCTCCAGCTTGTTCTTCTCTTCTGTCAGATGGTGGATAGTGAAAGAACTTTCAAGATTATCATTCACCCTAGCACTCTTGCTATCTTCAACCATTGCCCACAGCTTCAACAATGCATTTTGCATTGTTGGGGGCCACTGGTGATCAACCCATTCAACAAACCAACAATTCTACCCTTCCTGCAAAAAGAGCAAATAGATAAAAAAAATAAACAAGTTAGTTCATACCACATGTATATAACTAGTGCAAAGCAATAGCACTGTACATTGGTAATAACAGCACCACTAAGCTACACTGGTGATGTACCTACCCACTAAATAACAGCATGACAAATTACAGCACCACTCAGCTACAGATTTGAACTAGATTTTGCTAATCAGCTACAAAACAAGAGCAATCTCAAACTGCAAACTTGGTGAACTGCCAAAGCATATGCAGTACATACTATCCATTCAACTAAATATTTGTAGCATTTAGATACATAACAGCAGGTCCATCCGAACATAAAAGTAACAGTTCACTCAATATTTAGTTCCAAACAGGAGCATCCCAACATAAAAGTAACAGTTCACTCAATATTTAGTTCCAAACAGGAGCAAAAGTAACAGCAACATAATTAACAGTAGCACTGTCATTCAACTACATAAAAATGCCACAACAGCAACATAAAACCTGTAGAAGTCCCAAACTGAATATTTCACATGATAGCAAGAACAATGCCACTACAAAATAACAGTACCACTGTCATTAAACTACACAAGCTACTGTTGTTGCAAAAGTGAATATGCCCTTAATAATCAGGCCTTGTACTCATGTTCAATATGCCACTGTCAAACCAACAATAATATGACACTATCAACCTAAATATAAATCCCACTATCAGCATACAATTCATACCGGCTCTGCACATGCTAAGAACCTTCTCCCTATGCATGTTCCTTCAAATGCGACAAACCTCTCAGATGCCTTGTTGTGCTTCTCACATGGCGACATCATTTCTAGCTCAGGCCCCTGGTAATCTGGATCTTCAACACTGAAAGGGACCTGCCGAAGCTCGTACAAACAAAATGCCCAAATCAAAATCCAGCGAAATCAACCAAATCAAAAAGCCCCAAATCTGAAACCCTAACCCTAAACCTAGCTCAAGGAAAATCACCTGGTTAAGCTCGTCCGTGGATGAGGCCGAGTGCATGTATGGCAGGCTGGACGTGTCCTCACTGCTTTCGTCTTCGAAAATCATGGCGGGCGGCGGCAGTTCGGTCCGGCAATGCTACGAGCGGCGACAAGGGCGGCGAGAGAGGAGCGAGGAGGGAGGCACGAGCGAGGAGGGAGAGAGTGGAGACAGAGCACGGGCCGGTCCGGTTCGAGCCAGACCGCACCTATCGAGCGGGCGGGCGGGTGCCGATTCGCCAGCGTGGCAGCTGACGCACGGGCCCGGGCGGTCAGTTCCAGCGTCAATACGTAGAAATATGAAGTTTAGCCTGATTTGCAACGGTTCGACCCAAACGTGGTACTAACACGTAAAAATTACCAAAAGTGGTACCAATTCGCCACCACCGCCCCAAATGTGGTAGTATCGTGTAATTAACTCATTTTGATCTATTTGTTTCTCCACTCCTCAACATGTTTGCCTCCAGGATGTCACTTTCAATCTCGATTGGCAGATTGCCCCATTGTAGAGCTAGCATGAGTGCCCCCGGATAGCTAGAATCTCAGCTTCCAACACATCATTGCATGAAAACAGATGCCTACAGAAACTGAAAACAATGCCTCCGGTGTGGTCTCGAAGAAGCATACCAGTACCACCAATCCCATCCAAAACAGAATCAGCAGTGTTTAGTTTTACACGCCTAGCAGCCAGGCGTGACCATGGAACAGTAAGAGGGAAGCAGAAGTGAACCGGGAATTTCCTTTGGCATAATCAACATCAGGGTAGGTCACAATAGACTGTAAGGAGGACATGTACCTTGCCAGAAACCAGACGGAAACATCCACGGGAGGAGCGGCGCACTTGAACCAATCAGTTAAAATTTACCATGAGTATTCATATTTTAGAGTAATATAAATGGTATTTGGAAATGCCTTAATTAATCATGTATTTATGCTTTAGATCAAGTAATAATAAGAAATCTCGGTAAATAAAGATTTTGCTATTTTTAGGCGATTGGCAAAAAAAAATCGATAAAGGGCGGTTTTTATTGATTAATAATGTAGCATCAATGGGATACATGTAATATAAACACATACCCGGCCTCTGCATAATTAAGATGCACACAGCCAACACTAACACACATACACACACAATCCTACTGGCAAATAGCAAAGTTATGCAAAACCAAAGCTATGCTTGGGATGAAGAAAAAAACGAAGCGATCAAAACAGTGAACAAGGAAAAACAACAACGACCATGGGCACCAACCACTGCTTGACAACACAAGGACTACGATAAATGTCCTCCAAAAGCAACGCCTTCAGAAAGAAAACAACACTCAAGAGTCGTCGTCGCCTACTCCAACCACTGAAGGCTAGATCGTGGGTTTTCACCCTGGAGATAAAGTCCAAGAATGTTCAAGCAATGTCGTCAACAAGCTAACGATGGAAACCATCGCCATTGTCAGGTATAACAAACCAGGGTCACACCTAGGATTTTCACCTCGGAGCTCCAGACCGGGTACTTGAGAAGCACCATCAAAACCGAAGTCATCTTGTGTTCTCGCTTTCATTTCCGCTATTCTAGCAACATTGCACACACGATAAAGTCACTGACAAAGGGGAAAGGTCATCAACATCGCCAAAATCCCTCGGAACGCTCTGGCAACACCGCATCATCCTCACAAGTGGCAGTCGGTGATAGATTTGTACCAGATGACACCACCATGCCTCTTGCTTGGCCGCCCTCACTAGTAGTGTAGGTTCACAGCATGCTAGCTGCGAGTCCGAGCGGAGGACCGCCTCACGGGTACACAGATGGCTACCATGGCATCGACAAACCTCAGATCACAGACTCATGGCTTCTAATGCAAATTGACTATCAAGTATGTCGCCGGTACAACTACAACACACATCAAGGACGTGCAGACACCACCAACACCACAGACGCGTGTGTGGCCCAAACGGCCATCGTGCCTGAAGCCACCGGTGTGCCGCTTGGGGGCAACACTATAGCACGTGTGCACCAGATCGAATCCCATCGGGCGAGCGGTGACGCGGCCTTCCACTCCATCTTGCCGGCAAGCGGTGCATCCCGCCGACTTCCAGCAAGGGAATCACTCCATCTTGCCGGCGAGTGCTGTGTTTCCCTGACCACGCAATGCAACAAGAACCACACTTCCAGATTGCAATGATGCCCGTGTCCGGTGGTCCTCGCCCAGTTGTGGCCACTGCTACTTCTTGTGTACTGCTGATGTCTGTCTAGGGCACATCTAGATGTGCCCTAGTTATTGCACATCTAAGTGACTCAATCTAACTAGAAAGAAAAAGGAAAAAAGACAAGAAAATGCTTGCACGAATCTTAGCGTAAAATCAATGACATAGGACTTAGATGTGCAATACTTAGATCGCATATAGATGTGCTTTAGCAAAATTGTATTTCTTTTCCTCTAGAAAGATGGAGTGGTATCTATATCCTTTTGTGAAGTATCAATCCATACAGATAACTATTTCTATGTGGACGCTAAGAAGATCACTGAGATTTCTGTAAATGCAAAGAGATGAGAAGTTTTTTTTCTTTGAAAAGATGGTGAAACTTTGCCACTTTTTATTCATTAAGTGAGGAAGTATGTACGAGGTGAGGCCGCAGTCCAGAGGAGGAAAAAAACGAGTACTTTCACAGAACAATAGCCCTAAAAGTTTAGCGCCCATGATGAAACATAAGGCCGCCTCTCTTTTGATGTTGGAGAAAATAATCGTTGGCATGGCCAGAGTCTTCCTGAAAACTCGATAGTTGTGCTCATTCCAAACACCCATGAGACCAACATTAGAAGGGACATAACAGCCTTCCCCTTGTGATTATCTCCATCCATCATTCCTTAACCGAGGTAAGGCCGTGCCGAGTTTCCAGGTTTAGTTCGTTGTGGCCAAGCCAATCAAAGATCATGGGTGTATTTGGTTGCTGCCCTGATGAAATATTGCCTGGCCTGGAGCTCCCCTGAAACCTGCATGCATCATGTTTGGTTAGTGCCCTGGGTCGTAACAGTCTAGCCTGGCCTGCACAGCTTGAAAAAAGGATTAGCCTGGCCGGCCACCCGGCAACGCGGTTAGCCTGAGCCAGCCGTCCCATGTCTTGCCCCTGGGTGAGCCTGCTGCACTGCATGGTATTAGTTTATTATTATTTTTGCATAGGATTGATGGGTGTGGATTTCTTTATGTATTAGTTGTACTGCAAAGCAGCGCCAGGCTCAAGGCACAAACCAAACACATGTGCGTCAGGCTAGCCTCACCAGGCAAAAAATTTCAACATTCCAGGCTCGATCCAAGCATGAGTTTTCTCCAGGCGAGGTGTCCAGGCCTTTAACCAAACACCCCCATGTTTCATATTCTTATGCAGTGTCAACATTGAAAAAATAATATGCGCCACCGTCTCAGGGACATGCCTGCAAAGCTTGCACATTTCACAATTAGTCCATCCTCCCTTCTCCAAGCGGTCAAGAGTCCAAACTATATTTGGATGATCAAGCACGCGAATAACTTGCCCTAGGGAGGGGCTTAAGTCTCCGAGTCACCGACTTAAGCATTGATAAGATCATCCCCACAAATTGCGCATGGTAAGGCGAGGCTTTAGAATAATGAGAAGATCATCATTAGATGGATTTAAATGTCGACAAGAAAAAACTATATTTAAGTCAAACTATGAAATAGTCATGTAAATAAAATTGTTGTAGGCTCTTTACCATAAATATTGCCATTTTTCTATGAAATAGTCGTGTACCGAAAATTGATGCAGGCTCTTGCCAATTTTTCTACGAAATAGTCAAACTATG